CATTTATCTGTTGGATAAAAAGAGTAGAAATGAAAAGTTTGGGACAACCAGGTGGCATTGTGGTTAAGGGTGTTGGAGCACATATGACTGACTGCACAGTTCAAGTCCTGGACCCAGTAGCTTGAAACACAAGCCAGGCTCATGTGTGTGCATGCCCAAGATTAAAATTCATGGTCCAAAACAGCAATTACTTTTGTACCAACCTAATAGTTTCTGATGTCTGGCTATTGGCAGGGACTGTGGTTGTCTTCCACACAGTGTCTTTGTTGGCTCATTGTTGTTCACATGACAATTTCAGGGGAAAAAAAGCAGCAAGAGACCATGCCCAAATTGTGTGAACACCCACCCACCTACCTACCTACCTAGCTACCTACCTACCTACCTTTCTCTCTCTCTCTTTCTTTCTAAGAGAGACTTTTTGCTATAGAGTGTGTGCACTCACCAGAGAGACAAAGAGAGACCAACAGAAAGAAGTCATTCCCTGGGGGGATGGCCATGCCATAATCCCTTCTCCATTTTCCTCTCACGATCTTTGGCACACAGGCACATGTGCCTGGTGTGAGTTTCAAGCCACTGGGTCTGGAACTCAGACTGTGGTTGGCCATATGGGATGTAACTATTACACCATCTGCTGGTCCTGTGTGAGCACTTTTTGCATCTGCTTGCTTAATGTCCCATTGCCAAAGCAGTCACCCTACTGTGTCTAGAATCTGTATAGGACTCTGGAATACCTCGAGGCAAGGATATGGGAGGGCAAATTATTGCCACTTTTGCCATCAAACTAGCACTTTTTGAATACAAACAATTTTAAGGCAATAAATTGGAAAATTCAGGTCAAGTGGGCAGTTTACTAGCAGAAAAAAATAAAAATTGATCTCTCTTGAGAAGATATGAAATACCTGAATAGATTTAAACACAGTTATAGAAATTAATACCAGTAGCTAAAAATTTAACTTCTACCCTTCCTGTAAAAGAAAAGATAGTCTCACAACTGAAACTCCAGCAGTCATTGAAGGAACAAATCATTACAGCCTTATTAAATGATTTCAGAGATGGTAAAGAGGTAAAGGTAAAGCTCATTTTATGAAGCTAGCAAAACTTATGACTTCAAGCACAAGACAAAGACAATCTGAGAAAAGATGTTTACCAACCAGTTTTACTTAGGAATACAGGATATGAAAAGTCCTAAATAAAATATTTGTAAATTGAGTCCAGTAATAAATGCTTTTAAAACAATATTCTTTTTTTTTTTTGGAGGTTTTTGCTATAGGGCGCGTGCGCTTGCCAGGCAGACAGAGACAGAAAGCAAGAAATCACTCCCCCGGGGGGATGGCCAAGCTGCAATCCCTTCTCCTCTCGGGATCTTGGGCACACAAGCACACACACCCAGCGTGAGTTTTAAGCCACCGGGTCCGAGACGTGAACTGCAGTCGACTACATGGGAGTCCAGCGACACGGCCATTACGCTAACTGCTGGTCCCTAAAACAATATTCTAAGAAAGGTTTATCCCAGGGTTTGCTGTGATAATTCAGTGTTAGACAATCAGTTTACCACATTTACAGATAACAGGGGGAAATGTTATGTCCATTTCAGTAGGTGTAAAAGAAACATAATTTGAAAAATTAGCCACTCATTCATGGTTTGAAAAGAAGAAAAAAAACTTAAAGGAGCTTCCTTAACAGATAAAGGGTATCTACCAAAAAAGACAGCACATCACATGTAATGATAAAATACTATGCCCAGAATGGGGAATTCTGTATATGTAGGCTTTATTTTTATTATTATTATTATTATTTTTTGGAGAGGTTTTAGCTATAAGGTATGTGCGCTCGCCAGAAAGAGAGATACAAGAGAGGCAGAAAGCGAGAAATCACCCCCTGGGGGGATGGCCACACCACAGTCCCTTCTCCTTCATTCTCCTTTTGGGATCTTGGGCACGCATGCACAGGTGCCTGGCTTGAGTTTAAGCCACTGGATCCGGGACGCGAACTGCAATTGACTACATGGGAGTCCAGCAACATAGCCATTATGCCAACTGCTGGTTCCCTAGGCTTTAGTTGTATATATACTTTTTGTTGCTTCTGTGTCTAAAACATCTGGAGGAGGAGGAATGATAGGAATGAGATTTCTAAAAACACCTGTGGAAACTTTGGGCTCTAGAAAAGTTAGAGAAAAACAGATCAGGGTTAGAGTTAAACTTTGTTAGTTTTAAAATGGATTAAATCTGAGAGGTATTTAAAATTACCATATTATATAATACATTTTAAAAACTATCTGTTATAAACCACAGAATGGAATGCATAGGTTTAAAAAGTTTTTTGAAACAGTTTCATAGATTGAAATTTAAAGTTATAATAATGGTAAGAAAAACAAAGAAACACCATCTACCCCTGACTCGCTCAGCTTCCTTGATTGTTACCATTTTTTCATATTTGCTTTATTTATTTTTTTAAAGAGGTTTTTGCCTTAGGGGGTATGTGCTCCTGAAGAGAGAGACAGAAACAGTGAGAGGATAAGTGAGAAATTAGCCCCCGGGGGAATGGTCCTGTGGCAATCTCTTCTCTGTTCTCCCAGGATCTTGGGCATGCATGCACATGTGCCCAGCATGATTTTCAAGCCACTAGATTCAGGACTTGAACTGCAGTTGACCATGTTGAAGTCCAGCAACATTACCACTGTGTCATCTGCTGATCCTGCGTTATTCTTTTTTTAAAGTTACATATTTGTGTTTTGTTCTTGAATGATTCAAATTGCAAGCACAGAACCATTGCTCTTAATGTATCAGTTCATATTTCATAAAAATAGATACTTAAGAGTACAGACCTGTTTTTTGTGAAAGGGCGGATCTGGATTTGTCTGACTTTTGTCCGGTTATTTATTTAGATTAGGAATACCATACTAGTGATGTTGTTTACTCACTGTACCAGAGCAAGAGCCATATAATGTTGATTCGTATTTTTCTGGTGGTGATACCTTTGGTCATTTAGCCAAGAAAACTGTTGTTTTCACAGTGTAAATAAATCAGTTTTCTTTGGGAAGCCACCTGAGACTGTGTAAAGTATCAGTGCTAGATTTAATTGTGAGGTGCTTTAATTTAAATACAATTTGCATTTAGTTCTTTGAGTAATTAAAAGTACAGGCACCAGTAGACTTCCTTATACACAGGACAAAAATTGCTGTTGTTCAGATAAGCCAGCAAGATGGATATATATGTATGTATTTCTAGTTCTGATTTCTATTTGATCTGAATTTTAACATCAACATTAATGCCTTTAACTTTATGTTATAATCAAATACTTCTATAAATATTATATTGAACATGAAAAGTGTACCTTTTCAAATTTTAAGTTGAAAAGAATAGAAATCTTTTTTTTTTTTTTTTTTTTTAATGTATTTCTGCTGAGAGAGAAACAGGCACCCTATAGGGTCTTCATACTGTGATCCACCTCCGTTCTCAGCTGGCCCAGGTCATGGGCATGTCCACACATCCAGTGTACATAGGGAGGTCCTTAGTTGTGAACCCAGGACCTTTCCCATATGGATCCAGTTGTGTTAACCACTGCAGTACCACATAACCCAGTCAGTGTTTGCTCTAATTTTGTATAATACTATAGATACACTTAAAACCTAGAGAAAATTGGCTATTTACTCCAAGTTACAAATTGTGTGAAATGGCACAGGTTACCATTACACACTATTAAAGTCCCATAAAATGTAGAAATATGTTTGCTAATAAAGAATCCTTGTTTGGGACCAGCAGTTAGCGTAATGGCTATGTCGCCGGACTCCCATGTAGTTGACCATGGTTCGAGTCCCAGACCCAGTGGCTTAAACTCCGCCGGGTGCATGTGCGTGCGTGCTCATGATCCTGAGAGGAGAACAGAGGAGAAGGGATTGCGGCGTGGCCATCCCCCCTAGGGGATGATTTCTCACTTTCTGTCTGTCTCTCTCTGTCTTTCTGGCGAGCACACGCGCCATATAGCAAAAACCTCTTAAAAAAATAAAAAAGAAAGAAAAAAAGCCCTTATAGTAAGAGTTTACATTTGAGATGATGACAAATAGGTGATATGGGTGTTAATGAATTCTTATTTCCTGTACCCTCATCAAGCATGTGTAGACCTTAATATTTTAACATTGAGATCTTATCTTTAATCTGGGTTCTTACATTTTTTCCGGCAACCATTAGCAATAAGTAAGTGAAAATTGGCATACTAGTTGAAGTATATTTACTAAATTTTTACAGTTTATTACATCCCCCAATGTTTTTTTCAGAGATTTTTACTATAGGGTGTGTGTGTGCTCACCAGAGAGAGAGATAGAAAGTGAGAAATCACCTCCCTCTCAAGGGGGATGACCACATCACAATCGCTTCTCCATTCTCCTCTCAAGATTGTGGGCATTCATACACATGCACCTGGCATGAATTTCAAGCTGCTGAGTCTGGGATTTGAAATGCTGTAGGCCATGTGGGAGTTCAGCAGTGTAATTGCTATGCCATCTTCTGGTCCTAACATCTCCATATTTAAATCTTCACTAAAGATCAGTTGGTACTGAGTATTGTTTGTATATGTCAAAGTTGGACTGTAAACCAGCTAATATTTTTTCCCAGTCCAGAATGTGACCTTGTCATTGGTTTGCAGTATGTACATTTAATTCATGTTATCTGTATGTAGAGATTATTTGTCTCACAGTTATCTAACGAAGTTGAAATAATTTTAATGGATTTTTACTAATGGCAGCCTTCATGACTTCTTTTTTTTAAAAAAGATTTATTTAATTTTATTTATCATCCTTTTTTTTTTTTTTTTTTAATAATTTGCTAAAAGGCACATTTCCTTGATAGGGTAACAGAGAGAGAATGGAAGTGAGAAAGCAAGCTGCCAGGTCTGGAACTCAAACCACAGCTGGCTATGTTGGGAGTTCACTACCCCAATCACCACACCGCCTGCTGGCCCTAGCCTTCATGACTTTTACTAAGTGTTTATTGGTTGCCTTTCAGAATAAAAGAGATGAACATTTATTGAAAAAGAGAAATGTTCCCCAAGAAGAAAGCTTAGAAGATTCAGATGTTGATGCTGATTTTAAAGCAGTAAGTTACCTTGTTTTTATAGAGTCCTTAAAATAAATTTTTATAGTAACAAGGAGAACTTAAATTTTAATATAAGACTAATTTTATGATGGTAATTAAGTTACATTAACTTTAGCAGATAGACTCTTCAGTGAATGTAATTTCGCTAATAAACTCCACTGAACTGTGTTTTCTTTTTTTTCTTTTTAAGCAAAATGTAACGTTAGAAGCTATATTGCAGGTATGTTATTAATTTAATATTCTCATTTTAAAGTATTTGAAATTGATTTTTCTTTTAATTTTTGAAATTTGCATTTGGTATTTCAGAATGCGACAAGTGATAACCCAGTGGTCCAGTTGAGTGCTGTTCAAGCAGCAAGGTAAATACTAATTTGTCCAGAGAGAAAATTTTGTCATACCTTAGGTATCATAGCTGATAGGCTAGGAAGAATACATTATTATTTCTGTTCAAATGTGAAAATTATAGCGATTAATTTCTTACATCTCTTTTTTCTAGAAAACTATTATCCAGTGACAGAAACCCGCCAATTGATGACCTAATAAAATCTGGCATTTTACCAATTCTAGTCAAATGTCTAGAAAGGGATGATAAGTAAGTATGGATTTGACTGTATTCATATTTTTTCAGTTAACTTAAAATTTTGAGTTATTACTTAACCAGTAGGTTAAACTAGTGTTACATTTATGTTTTTCAATTGTCATGCAATTTTGAATTCTGTGACCATATTAGTTAGACCTAAAGTACTTCCTTTTTTAATTTCTGAAGTATGTATTGGGTTGTTGGAAAAGTAATGATGTATTTTTGCTTAGAAAAACATAGAAAAAAATTCGTCATGACTTTTCCAATAACCCAGTATTTCCTTAGGAAATACTGAACTCCTGTCTATTGCATGTTCTAACTTATCTTGAATATTTACAGTCTTTGTTAGGTTTTTTTATTAGTAATATTTTAAAACAACCCAAATAGTATTTGAGTCACCCTTTGCTTATGAGTCTATATATAGATTATCCTCATGACTAAGTCAACATGAATGGTTTCCAGAATTCAGTGACTTTCTTACCTTGGGAATATTCCAGCTGATCACTGATCCTCTGGATAGACTTTAACAGACCTCTAGCCATGATTAGTTGTCCAGCATCATACTTTTTGTTTTATAGCAAATGAAGAATAAGGGGGCAGATTATACTTACCCAGAAGAGGAAAGGAAAGATACTACTTAACTTTGAGACACTGGCCACATTTCCATTTATGTTTAGAGTTAACTCAGTGCTGTCTTAAACTTCACCGATTTGAATTTACTGGGGAAAGTTAGTTTGAACTTTGAAATACTTTAAAACAAATGGTGTTGGGACCAGCAGGTGGTGTGGTCATTAAGCTGCTGGACACTCCTGCATGGCCGACCACGGTTCGAGCCCCAAACCTGGTGGCTTGTTTTCTCACTTTCCCTCTCTCTCTTTCTCTCTCTGTGCCTCTTCTAGTCAAGTTAAAATAAATGAATGAATATATAAAATTAAATAATTCTTTTTAAAAATGGTGGTTTTGCATTTAAGAGCATTTAGACTGGAATTTGATATATTTTGCTAAGTGTTGTCCAAGGAATTTTCAGTTGACTAGATAAGAATAGTGGTGTATGAATATTGCTTCTAAGGGTTTTTAATATTTAAAAATACCTTCAGCTTTCTTTGTGAACTACAGTCCTCCTCACCTCCCACTCCCAAGCCCTGGATACTTTTTTATTCTGTCATATGTATTTCTATAATAAGATTTATTTTAAGTAAAAGTAAGTTTTATTTCAGCTGTTTAAAAAATAAATTCTACCCCTCCTTTTTTAGGGGGTCTTTTTTTTTTTTTTTTTTTTTGGAGAGGTTTTTCATTATAGGGCGCGTGCGCTCACCAGACAGACAGAGAGGGACATAGAGACAGAAAGCGAGAAATCACCCCCCAGGGGGGATGGTCATGCCGCAATCCCTTCTCCTCTGTTCTCCTCTCGGGATCTTGGGCACGCACGCACACGCGCCCGGCGTGAGTTTTAAGCCGCCGGGTCCGGGATGTGAACCGCGGTCGACTACGTGGGAGTCCAGCGACATAGCCATTACGCTAACTGCTGGTTCCCATAGGGGCTCCTTTTCTGTTCTTCGTCTGCTTTTCTTTCCTTTTTCTTTCCAGACTTTGGCGTAGAGTCAGTTGTGTGGATGTGTCTGTGGGACAGCATATATACAAAACGTATTCTAAAACACAGTGATACATCTCTTAACAAGTATATTGTCTAAGAAACTAATTGTTTAGCAATTTCATTATTACACAAAATCAGAGTGAACTTATATAAACCTAGACAGGATAGCTCTCTAAACTGCTAGGTTATATGGTATAGCCTATTAAAATAAAGGACTATCTTCATATATGAGCTCATTTGATTGAAATGGTATTAATACTGTATATACAGCTCAATTAATATTTTTAAAATACTGACCTGTGTAACTACCCACCAAAGCAAGGACAGAAAATTGTCAGTGATTTGGATCTGACTTTATGGATTTCTCATGGGAAGTTGTGTTACAGTGCAAAAGACTATAGACTTTGGAGCTAAGCAGTACCTGGTTTAAATACAGGCTTTGCTGTTTATGAAAACCCATGTGGTTTTTGAACTTCAGATACCTCATCTTTAAGAATTAAGTGGTTGTGAGGAATGGAAAAAAAATACACACATACACATCTAACACACTATCAGGTTTAAATGTCTATTTTTTACTTATTGGGGTAATCTAGTTTTTCTGTTTCTTCTCTCTTTCTCGTTTGTTTTAAAACATTTATATCTATTTATTTGTTATAATTTTCAAGGGGCTGGGGCTGGGATTCTGACCACAGTTGGCCATGTGGGAATCCAGTGCATTAACCATCTTGCCACCTCCTGGCCCTGTCTCTTTTTTCTTTTTTCACATGACAGATTGGAAAACTTTCCTCAGCTTTGTAGTTTTATTTTTTATGACTTTCCACTTTCTCTTTTAAGGTTTCCATTTCCATTTCAGTGTTTCACCAGACCAACTAACCTGCTTAATAACGTTCTCCTCCCAATTTGGGACAACATATATAGTCTTGCCATCTTTGATCTTCTCTTTTTGTCTGCCTCTTGATGCCTTCTTATTTACTGCCTCTGTCAGAATTCATCGTGTAGTTCTATCTGCTACTTCATTTTCTTAAATCTGTTTAAGTTAGTAGTAGGGTATATTTTCTACCCCTATTGCTTGCTATATTATATATCTGACATTTATTATTCTTAAAACCTTTCCCTTCTTGAATCTATTTTAACCTTTTGATACTGACATCTTAGCTTTCTTCAGTGTTGACAGACTTTTTTCCTAATCCTCTGACCTTTAGTTAATCTTAGTTTTTGCTGACTACATCTCCTCATACTTGGTATTCTACTTCAGGGGGTTTATATTTTTTAATTTATTCTCTTAACTTAATGTAAATAATTTTCTTTTAGCAAGTCTTTCTTAAATGTCTTTTTATATTTTTTGAGTGAGATTTTTGCCATAGGGCCCGTGCACTTGCTAGAGAGGCAGAGACACACAAAACAAGAAATCACCTCCCAGGGAGGATGGTCACACCACAATTCCTTCTCCTCCATTCTCTTCTTGAATCTAGTGTCCTAACCATCACGCCACCTGCTGGCCCCCTTAAATGTCTTTTAACAAGTTTCTATCAGCTTTTTACCTTTTTAATCTATCCTACATACCATTAACTCCAACATTATTTCCTTTTCTCTCCTTTTCAGTAGCAACCTATAATTAGAATGTCTATAGAATATCAAGTTCAAAAACTTTTTCTTTTTTGTTTTTAATTGCATCAGAAAGAGAATATACATACCCCTCAAGAGGCATGGTCATACACCACAGTCTGTCTTTATCCAGTTGTTCATCCTGTCAGGACTTAGGGCCCACGCACACATGCCTGATAGATTTTTCAAGGCTTTGGGGCCAGAATTCAAACCAAGACTGGAATTCAGATCATGGTCTGCCATGTGGGATCCAGCTCCCAGAGCATAGTGCTTAATCTCTGTGCTATGGGGCCAGATTTCTTCCTCTTTTTAAGTTTATTTTTTTCTTCTTAAGTTTACCTATTTTTTCCATGCATGAGAGACTCAGAGCAACAGGACGGCACCCCCAACTAGGCCTTCACACTGCGGTCCACCACTATTTTCAGCCAGCCCCAGATAATGGACTGCATGTACCCAGCATATTCTGGGAGGTCTCCAGATGTGAACTCAGGACTTGCCCATGTGGTTCAACCTTCCAGAGCTTTATGCTTCCTCTGGATCACTATCAGCCCAAATTCCAAGTTCTGAAGCCTGGAATTTAGATACATTCTTCACTTTGACCCTCACCTACCGACACATTCACATGTTTTATTATATTTTGCTTTAGCTCTGTTGATCTGTTCCTTGTTATCCATATTCATATTCTTATTTTAAAAAAATAATTATTTAATTTTATTTATTTATTTATTTTTAATTTGACCAGAGAGAGAGAAAAAGTGAGAAAGCAAGCCACCAGGTCCAGGACTCGAACCACAGTTGGCCATGTGAGAGTCTAGCACACCACCTGCCAGCCCCACGTATTCATATTCTTATATGTCAGGATTATTCTACATATGATAACCTTTTAAATAATTTCTGTCAGTGCCTGCCTTTTAAAATTTATCTTTGAAAAGCTAGTTTGTTTTTCATTTTATTTACAAGGTCTTCCAGCATAAAGAAAAAAATTATAATGATTCTATCTTTTCAGCAAAATTATGCAGCCTCATAATATTTCCAATGTGTGCTTAAAGCTGATGGTATAGTACAGTTATATGGGGGTCCCAGCTTTAAGACAACTTAGAGGCTATACCAGTGATTCACATGAGATGATAAGGCCCTCAGCACAGTAATACCTGTAAATTTAAGAAATATTTGGGAGGTGAAATTGACAATGACTTTTTGGTGTGGCATATGTTGGAGAGGAAGGAATCATGGTAAATATGACTGATAAATGTTGCAGCTACAGCGAACATAAGCAAGTTTATAGTGATTGACTTTGGGAGGCAGTGAAATATTCAGGTAGGTGTCTGGCAAGCAATTGGCTATAACAAGGTGAAATTCAAGGATAAAGTAAGGGATAATCATTGGGTATGAGAGTTACAATCTTAAATGATAGGTGCTTATTTAAAATGAGTTTTAATTTTTTTTCTTTTTTTTGGTTATAGTCCTTCATTACAATTTGAAGCTGCTTGGGCGCTAACTAATATAGCATCAGGAACTTCTGCACAGACTCAAGCTGTCGTACAGTCTAGTAAGTCATTTAAATTCTTTACTCTCTGACTTTTTTTGTAATATGGCAAGAAGATGGCTTTTGTAATAAAGACTGAATTTTTATCTTGAAGAATTCTTAAGCTAATGAATTTTCTAAGTTAATTTTTGATGAACGATAGCTTTCTTACAGGTTATCAATCTTCTTCTTTCTTTTTTTTAAATGAGAGAATGTGTGAACACACAGGAGAAGAGATGGGGGGTTATTTTTTGACAGGTTTTCGCTTTTGTAGTCCTCTACCCCAGCCTCCCAGTTAGTTAGGATTTCAGGTGTGCGACCTCACCAGACCTTTTTAAGTTGGTCTAGGATCTAATTCCAGGCTTTCCATGTGGTCCCTACCACTTGCACCGCCACATCTAGGTCATGTCACTAAATAATTTTAACTGTGGGAACTAAAAATGGAGTAGGATAATTTTACCTTGGTGTAGAACCATCTTCTAATAACAGGATTTTTAATTTCAAATATTTTCTTTTTTTTTTTTTGTTATCCATATTCATATTCTTATTTTAAAAAAATAATTATTTAATTTTATTTATTTATTTATTTTTAATTTGACCAGAGAGAGAGAAAAAGTGAGAAAGCAAGCCACCAGGTCCAGGACTCGAACCACAGTTGGCCATGTGAGAGTCTAGCACACCACCTGCCAGCCCCACGTATTCATATTCTTATATGTCAGGATTATTCTACATATGATAACCTTTTAAATAATTTCTGTCAGTGCCTGCCTTTTAAAATTTATCTTTGAAAAGCTAGTTTGTTTTTCATTTTATTTACAAGGTCTTCCAGCATAAAGAAAAAAATTATAATGATTCTATCTTTTCAGCAAAATTATGCAGCCTCATAATATTTCCAATGTGTGCTTAAAGCTGATGGTATAGTACAGTTATATGGGGGTCCCAGCTTTAAGACAACTTAGAGGCTATACCAGTGATTCACATGAGATGATAAGGCCCTCAGCACAGTAATACCTGTAAATTTAAGAAATATTTGGGAGGTGAAATTGACAATGACTTTTTGGTGTGGCATATGTTGGAGAGGAAGGAATCATGGTAAATATGACTGATAAATGTTGCAGCTACAGCGAACATAAGCAAGTTTATAGTGATTGACTTTGGGAGGCAGTGAAATATTCAGGTAGGTGTCTGGCAAGCAATTGGCTATAACAAGGTGAAATTCAAGGATAAAGTAAGGGATAATCATTGGGTATGAGAGTTACAATCTTAAATGATAGGTGCTTATTTAAAATGAGTTTTAATTTTTTTTCTTTTTTTTGGTTATAGTCCTTCATTACAATTTGAAGCTGCTTGGGCGCTAACTAATATAGCATCAGGAACTTCTGCACAGACTCAAGCTGTCGTACAGTCTAGTAAGTCATTTAAATTCTTTACTCTCTGACTTTTTTTGTAATATGGCAAGAAGATGGCTTTTGTAATAAAGACTGAATTTTTATCTTGAAGAATTCTTAAGCTAATGAATTTTCTAAGTTAATTTTTGATGAACGATAGCTTTCTTACAGGTTATCAATCTTCTTCTTTCTTTTTTTTAAATGAGAGAATGTGTGAACACACAGGAGAAGAGATGGGGGGTTATTTTTTGACAGGTTTTCGCTTTTGTAGTCCTCTACCCCAGCCTCCCAGTTAGTTAGGATTTCAGGTGTGCGACCTCACCAGACCTTTTTAAGTTGGTCTAGGATCTAATTCCAGGCTTTCCATGTGGTCCCTACCACTTGCACCGCCACATCTAGGTCATGTCACTAAATAATTTTAACTGTGGGAACTAAAAATGGAGTAGGATAATTTTACCTTGGTGTAGAACCATCTTCTAATAACAGGATTTTTAATTTCAAATATTTTCTTTTTTTTTTTTTTCTCCCGCTATAGGGCGCGTGTGCTCGCCAGGCAGACAAAGACATAGAGACAGAAAGCGAGAAATCTCCCCTCTGGGGGGATGGTCACGCCGCAATCCCTTCTCCTCCATTCTCCTCTCGGGATCTTGGGCACGCACGCACATGGGCCTGGCGTGAGTTTTTTAAGCCACTGGGTCCGGGACGCCATCCAGGGTCAACTATGTGGGAGTCCAGCGACATAGCAATTATGCTAACTGCTGGTTCCCTAATTTCAAATATTTTCAAGATGCAGAGCAATTTATGTCTTTTAGCTTTTTGTTTTGATTTGTTTATCTTAAGGCGTGTGTGTGACCAAAACTGACGTAAGCTCTTAGAGAAAAGGCTAATTATCACCATATACATAGTTTCTTACAGTGTGAGACACTTGGCTGACATTAGGTGGCAGTCAAGGTGATTTTAAGTGGTATACTAGCAATATAGAAAGAAGTTACATTGAATCCTGTAGTAAGCATACTGTTCTCTCAGTTCTTTCTCAGATATTTTCATAAGTAATCTTAAGGGGAAAGTTTCTGTTAGGTTTTAATTATAACTAAAAAGGAATAGGTCTTATACTGGAGCTTTGAGTAGATACTGGTACGTAATTTTTTTTTTTTTTTTGGAGAGATTTTCACTGTAGGGCGCGTGCGCTCGCCAGACAGACAGAGAGAGACATAGAGACAGAAAGCGAGAAATCACCCCCCAGGGGGGATGGTCACGCCGCAATCCCTTCTCCTCCATTCTCCTCTCGGGATCTTGGGCATGCACGCACACGCGCCCGGCGTGAGTTTTAAGCCACCGGGTCCGGGACACGAACCGCGGTCGACTACGTGAGAGTCCAGCGACATAGCCATTACGCTAACTGCTGGTTCCCGATACTGGTACATAATTTAATAATGTTCCCGTTTTCATTATTTATTTCTTGATTATCTTCTATTTATGGTAAATGATATTGATCTTCTGTTTACAGAAGTGAAAAGGAAAACTAGTTAAAAATGTGAGTCCAAAAAAAGAGTCAGTTGAAGCCCTCATACACGGTTGGTGGGAATGTAAAATGGTACACCCACTGCACCAGCAGATGACATAATGATACGTTCTTGTAATCCCACGTAGTCGACTGCTGTTTGAGTCCTGGACCCAGTGGCTTGAAACTCATACTGGTAGTGTGTGTGTGTTGGGGGGGTGCCCAAAATCCCTAGAGGAGAGTGGAGGAAAAGAGATTGCAGTGTGGCTATCCCCGCTGCGGGGTGATTTCCTACTTTCTCTCTCTGGCAAGTGCACACACCCTATAGTAAAAATCCCTTTCAAAAAAAAAAAAGGTACAGCCACTTTAGAAAACAGTTTTTCAAAAGGTTAAATAAAGAGCTACCATATGATCCAGCAGTTTCACTCTTACTAATTGAAACCAAGAGGTACATAAAGACTTGTACATAAATGTTTACAGCAGTGTTATTCATTTTAAAAAAATAACAGTGCTCATTAACTAATGAGTGGATAAGTAAAATGTGTTATACAGTAAATACTATTCAGCAATTTAAAAAAAGAATAAAATACGGGACCAGCAGTTAGCGTAATGACTATGTCGCTGGACTCCCACGTAGTTGACCATGGTTCGTGTCCCGGACCTGGTGGCTTAAAGCTCACGCTGGGCGCGTGTGCGTGCGTGCCCAAGATCCCGAGGGGAGAATGGAGGAGAAGGGATTGTGGCGTGGCCCTCCCCTCTGGGGGGTGATTTCTTGCTTTCTGTTTCTCTGTCTGTCTCTGTCTGTCTGGCGAGTGTACACTCCCTATAGCAAAAAACCTCTCCAAAAAAAAATTTTAAATACTAGCATCCACTACAACATGAATGAACCTCAAAAATTTTGTTAGGTGAAAGAAGCCGACACACACACAGTTATATACAGGGTAATTTAATTTATATGAATTGTCAAGAATAGGCAATTCTATAGACAGAAATAACCTTTATTTCATCATATTATTATAATTGTTCTGTTTTGTTATTGTTAATCTCTATTGTGCCTAGTTTATAAATTGAATTTTATTATAGGTATGTAGGTGTAGGAAAAAGCATAGCATATGTTGTTTTGTACTGTCTATCTGTTGGGAATAGGTAGAACAAAGTCACTGTAGATAAGGGGGGCCTGCCGTAATAATAGCAAGCATTAGATACTGTCCTTGGGTGTGTTAGTCAAATATTACTAGGAGAAAATACTAAAATGATTATTTTTAGGGTAAAGGTATTTGCCACTTTTTTTTAAAAGGCAGAGTCTCACTATGTTACAATCCTAGTATTGGTACATGCCAGCATACCCAGTCAGCTTTTTGGATAGGCCAGAAATTCAGTTCCTGCCTCCTGTAGCCTTTGCCTGCTGAGTAGCAGTGTCTCATCACGTGCTTGGTGGCTAGGCCTATTTGCCATTTAATCATCCAGTGAACTGTAATTGGGCAACTACAATGTACCATGCTCTTGTGTGTTTTATCTGTTTATTCAGACTGAAATCTATAACCTCTTCAGCATTTTGCCAGAATAAAATGTTAGTTTTTCTTTATCACAGATGCAGTACCTCTTTTTTTGAGACTTCTTCATTCACCACATCAGAATGTTTGCGAACAAGCTGTATGGGCTTTGGGAAACATTATAGGTAAGTCACATTTACATTTGAAAAGGCTCCAATTAAGAAGCTTACTTAATTTTTTTCCTACATTGGCATAGCCATTGCACACTATGTTTCCTCTGAATTTAATGTGGGTTGACTATCTGCTTGCTTCACAAATACTAACTTAGAGTGGTAATCTTTGAAAAGGATATACAATTTGCTATAACCATTGTTAGGATTAAATTCATGTTTTTCAAATCAAAAGCTGGAGAAACAGCAGCACTTGATGCTTTTGACTAATGGTGAGGAAACATAGAACATCAGTGTCCCAACATGAGCCATTGCATACATTTCAGACTTCCCCATCCTGAATGTAATTTTTTTTTTAAATACAATTTTCATTTCTGTAGGTGATGGTCCTCAATGTAGAGATTATGTCATATCACTGGGAGTTGTCAAACCTCTTCTGTCCTTCATCAATCCCTCCATTCCCATCACCTTCCTTCGGAACGTCACATGGGTCATTGTCAATCTCTGCAGGAATAAGGACCCCCCACCGCCTATGGAGACAGTTCAGGAGGTAAATGAAGAATTGTAAAGGCCCGATGGTATATTTTCCCTATGTTTATACTTTAGGTATTCATGCACAGGGAATAAAATAGCACATATACTGTTTTTAATGTAGGTGTGAGATTTTTTTCAACTTATGTATTAATTATATTTAGTTACTCCTGTAAAATAAAAATGGAGTGTCTTATGTTATCTGAAAGACTGTCAGTCCATCCTAATGATGATTTTTAAAATGACTATTTTCATAATGAGAAAACTAATAAACTTAAAAATTCAAACAAATTTAAAAATTTCAAAGTTTTATTACTGTATTAATATTGCTGATTTTATGCTAAAAAGAGATTGCCTCAGATAAAACTAGTGTACTTGTATGCAGATACTCTTGAGTGAATTGAGTGAATTTGCACTAAATATACTTGGGTTTTTTTTTTGGAGAGGTTTTTGGTATAGGGCTCATGTGCTGGCCAGACAGACAGAGAGACAAGGGAGAGAGAAAGCAAGAAATCACCCCCCAGGAGGGATGGCCATGCCACAATCCCTTCTCCTTTCTCCTCTCGGGATCTTGAGCATGCACACACACGTGCCTGGCGTGAGTTTAAGCTCCCCGGTCCGGGACACGAACTGCAGTCGACTACGTGGGAGTCCAGTGACGTAGCCATTACGCTAACTGCTGATCCCAGTATACTTGATTTTTGACAAAATTAATATTCTTAAAGTGTGATATACTTTGTGCTAAATCTACTAATGAAAACAAAGTAAAAAACTTATATTTACCTTGTGTATTTTCCGTTTTTGAAAATCCTGTGTAATTTTACCAACTTGCCTGTGTAGAACACTATTTACTGTGTATCCTTGTAGTGTACATTTTTGGCCAGCATCTGCTAACCTATTGTTACGCAGAAGTGCCTAGTATGGTTCTTACCACCCTCTGCTCTCTTTGAGATTTTAAAAAGAGATCTCTAAGGCCTGACTCCAACACACAAAGCTTTATACTTTGTTTCTGTTATTACTTTTCTTGACTAAAGTGGAAGTCAAAAAATTTCAATTGATTCAAGTAGTTTATTAAATAAAATCTAATTTTTATTTTAAGCAGATAAGTGAGACAATAATAGCATTTTAAATATAGCTTTTCTTACAGAGCTATAACTGTATACTTGTGTCCCCATTCTTTCCACTTGAAACCATTTATCATAAAGAAGGTTATTAAAAACAAATGTTTTTCCCTTAAGATATATTATTCTCTACCCAATTTATTTGGACATTTGAAATATGCTTTTATGGGCCAGCAGGTGATGTGGAGGTTAAGGCACTGGATCCTCTGTTCCAGCTGCACAGTTTGAGTCCTGGACCAGTGGCTTGAAAATCATACTAGGTGCATGTATATGTGTGCCCAAAATCCTGAGAGGAAACTAGAGGAGGAAGGATTACTGTGTGGCCACCCTCCTGTGCCAGGGGTTTAGGGGGTGGTGATTTCTTACTTCCTCCACCCTCTGTCAGTCTCTGATGAGTGCATGCACATGTACCCTATAGCAAAAAAATATAAATATGCTTTCAGTTTTTCAGACTGAATTTATCAGGTTTTAATTTTTGTAAAAGAAAACAAATTTATTATTGTCTTCTGTCCTAAAAACGGTATTTACTGCTTTTTTGTTTCTCAGTCGTGTATTTTTACAAAGACATATTCATCAGCTTTAGTGTTACTTATTGTTTATCTTTTTTCCTCAGATTTTACCAGCTTTATGTGTCCTCATATACCATACAGACATAAATGTAAGTAAAGTAGAAGTTTGGATGTGGAGTTTTGTTCTTGACAGGATTGGTAGGATTTTAAAATCATGTTCACGTGTTTTTTATTGCCTTGTTAGGTTTTCATATTGTATATGTAGTTATCAGATACAGGACTAAGATTTGTTTAAAGGTTTATAGCTTAAATCATCTAGACAGCAAAAATACTAATTTTGGATAAATTATCATATATATACTATAGTTTATTTGTGTTATTACTAAGGGATATTAAAGTATGAATATTTTAAAGTAATAAGATTTTTTAAAGCATCTTTCTATTTTTTATGTTATTGATTCTTACAATAGGTAGATGAGATATTATCATCCCCATTTTCTAGAATAACAAGAAACCAATAAGCCACAGGGAGAGATTAAGTGACGTCTCTAAAGTTGCAGAACTGGTAAGGGTCAGAGTCAGTATTCACACTGAGGTCTTCTAACAACAGGTCTTGAGTATTTCCTATAAAACTATGCTGCCTCCCAGACTAGGACCTTTTCTAGATATAATATTGAAGAATATAGAATATAGTTTTAAAGGCAATGGCATTGTTTATTGATTTTCATTACATGATATTTAATGAAATGTGTTTTGTGTATATTCTGGTAAATTTGATACTTTCAGGCAATTTGAAATTCCTTCTAAATGCAGCAGAGTTAATTGTGATTTTTCCATGGAGTAAAACAGTAGGACATTTCTGTGAGTCAGCATTGGTCTAGTTTCTAGTGTTCCAACTAAGATCTTTTTCTGATGTGTTGTGTGTTGTATTTTTATAATCCTATTTTTGTTTGCATGTACATGCATACACAATTTATCACTGAGATGAAGAAAATACATCTTTGTGGTATTCCACACAAGGCAATGTAGTTAATATATAAAAATTGAATCATTTTTCTTCCTCATTTTAGGACTGTAAGCTCTTAAGTTTGAATCCTTTAAAGATCTCTAAAATCACTTTTTATTTATTACATATTAGCCTGAGATGTCATTAAAATGAAGTAAACATGGGGCCAGCGGATGGCATGGTAATTAAGACTGGGCTCCCACATGGCCGATCAGAGTTTGAGTCCTGGACCTGGTGGCTTACTTTCTCTCTTTTTCTCTATCTTTCTCTCTCTTTCTGTTTCTCTCTGGTAAGCTCATGTGCCCTACAGCAAATTAAAAGATAATAGCAAATAAAATTAAATAAATAATTATCTTTTAATTAAGTAAAGCTATTTGTTTATATACTGATCTATTTTCAAAATGGATAGGAAGTGACTAAACAACAGACATATAATAAGTATCTTGAAAGGAAGGCAGAAGTAAAATTATGCAGAAGTTTAATTGTTGATGTTGAATGCTCGGTTTAATTCTAAGATTTCTGATAGCCCAAATTAAAAGGAAAAGAAGCAGAATATTTATTTTTATCGGTACCGTCTCTTAGATCATTATAGAATTAGTTAGAGGCAAATAAAATCTTCTACCATCTATTGGTTGTGTTTATGTGAAATCTAGGTGTGTGGGAATGGTAAAGTATTATAGCTGGAGGTATATTTGTCAAGTTTACAAACATAGATTGTTCTCTCAGAGCCAGAATTGTGCCATGAATTATAGGCTCAAAGATAAAGAAGACATTGAAACCATCATGTCCACTAAGACTTCAACATTAAGACAAATAAAAAGAGTAAGAAGAATAAATTTTTTATGTCAAAAATTTGCTATGCTAGGAATCATTTCCGGCCGTGTCGGTGGGCTGAATTGAAGTGCTGCCGCGGAAAGATGGAGATGATCCTGGAATAGCAGCGGCAGTATCATGAGGAGAAGGAGTGGCTCATGGACATCATGGCCACCCACGGAGATGCTCACGAAGAAGTCCATGCTCCAAGACCAGATCAATTCTGACCATCGCACTCAGGCCATGCAGGATAGGTACATGGAGGTCAGTGGGAACCTGAAGGATCTGTATGACGATAAGGATGGGTTACGAAAGGAGCTCAGTGCCATCTCAGGACCCAACGAGTTTGCTGAATCCTACAATAGACTCAAGCAGATAAAGGAATTCCACTGGAAGCACCCAAACGAGATCTGTGTGCCCATGTCAGTGGAGTTTGAGGAGCTTCTGAAAGCTCGAGAGAATCCCAGTGAAGAGGCACAAAACTTGGTGGAGTTCACAGACGAAGAGGGATACGGACGTTACCTCGACCTCCACGACTGTTACCTCAAGTACATTAACCTGAAGGCATCTGAGAAGCTGGATTATCTCACATACCTATCCGTCTTTGACCAATTATTTGACATTCCTAAAGAAAGGAAGAACGCAGAGTATAAGAGGTACTTGGAGATGCTGCTCGAGTACCTCCAGGACTATATGGACAGAGTGAAGCCCCTACAAGATCAGAATGAGCTTTTTGGGAAGATTCAGACTGAGTTTGAGAAAAAGTAGGGGAATGGTACCTTTCCTGGATGGCTGAAAGAGACGAGCAGTGAGTGCCCTGACCCACGCTGGAGCCCATCTCGACCTCTCTGCTTTCTCATCCTGGGAGGAGTTGGCCTCCCTGGGTCTGGACAGATTGAAATCTGCACTCTTAGTTTTAGGCCTAAAATGTGGCGGGACCCTGGAAGAGCGAGCCCAGCGGCTATTCAGCACCAAAGGAAAGTCTCTGGAGTCACTTGA